ATAATCCATAATCTGCAATTGCCATTTTGAACATTTTGATTTCACTTCTCTAAAGAGAGCTTCATCTATATAGTACGTACTAAACTCTGGTTTGACTGCCTTCAAAAATCTAGGATATAAATAAAAATTAAAGAATATGATGGGATTTTAAAATTTGATTGTTACTTCAGCATATCAAATGATTGTTAATACAGAATTAGGTATATACTTATATCTAATATTGTAAAAAAAATCTGAAATAATCTGAAGCATTTACTTACCAAGTCAAAACAACCTTCCTCCTTTAAACAAGCATATAGGTATTATAGGTATAGATATTTTCAGTAAAACTGTAACTAGAAAAAACAACAATGCCAAGGCGTAGCCATGACTACCATATTTACAAAGGACGATTCTCGGTTTGGAGAACAGTCTCCTGGGCTAATATTTTTTTTCATGAAAAATATAGAAATATTACCCAAATTAAACTATGAATATTCAAGAGGACATTTAAATCAACAATATGTAAAAATATCAAATTGGTCTGGAGCAGGGATAACGCTCAATTAGACCGATTTTAATAAAATACAAGTCTCGATTTGGGGAAAGAAGTTCATCAGTGTACTGCGCTGATATTTTTTTGAGAAAAATCTAGAAATATTACCCAAATTAAATTATGACTATTCGAAAGAGGACATTCAAATCTATATTATGTAAAAAAAATCAAATTTGTCCGAAGCAGGGATAATGCTCATTTAGATTGATGAACTTCGTTCTCCAAACCGAGAATCGTCCTTCCCTCCACTACTTAATCCGTTTTAGCAAAAATCTTAAAATACTCCCATTTTAAGAAATTTGGTTTTTTTGAAATGAAATTGCTACAGATTGTAGAGGAACAATATTACAATATATCTGTACCAACTTTCATCACATATAGTCTAAATGTGTTTAAGTTACGGTTGTTATGGTTACGGATGTGAGAGGTATGCAGAGCAATTCCAGAACAATGCTAAAATGTGAATGAAAGGACCCAGGGTCCTGTGCTCACACAGTTTGGAACCTTCAGAGGAATGTATATCCTGACTTTCAAACCAAAATATTGATTTCGATTTGTAGTCTCGAACTTTGATCAACTTAGATAGAACAGTTGTGTGACCCTAGTTTGATGACCTTATACCTTGAAAATTGTACTTAGTCAGAGCTCAGTAAGGTCTTTTGTGATTAAGCTGACCAAAATTTACATCAAAAAATCAATTTGAAAAATCAACTTTTTTGAACTTTCAAAGGTCACTGAAGGTCAAGTAAAGGTCAAATCCTAAAACTAATGTCAGATTTGAACTTCTGGCAACTTGTAGATGATTTTCCAAAAAAATTGGGTTAAATTGAAGCAAGTTGAAAAATAACTTATTCTTACTGTTTTTTGATGTCAAATATCTCAAAAACGGTAAAAATTTTATGCTGACATATATTGAGCAATATGTAGGGAATGCTTAAATCTAGTAATAATGTAATTCATTGCAAGAAATGATCAAGTACAGGCCCGTAGCCAGGATTTGCCAAGGGGGAGTTCAGTTTTCAAAAATTTCCAGGGGGGGTTCACATTTGACAATTTTGGCCCAAATATGGCTAAAATCACTTGAGAAGTGCTCAAAATGGTAAAAAACTGCATGATTTTGAAAGAATTTTGGCCAGGGGGGGGGGGGGTTCGCCCGAACCCTGCGAACCCTCCCTGGCTACGGGCCTGAAGTATAAGGCAAACTTTGAGAAACTTGTCAATCACAAAACCTGCCATTGACTTTATACATGAGAAAGTTTCCTGAAAATGACTAAGCCGTACTTTTTGTCAAATTTTATAGAGTAAACACCAAAAATTGTAATTCCAAGAGCTTTGAAATCTTCAGAGGACATAGGTTGCATATATAGCAACTATTACAAGTTATATAAAAGTTCTTCTTCAACAGTCTCTAGTATTTACAGAAAATTTGACTTTTTGACGTCAAAATCAGCAATTTCTCGGAAACTGGGCGAACTTGGGAAATGGCGATGATAGGTCAAATAGGCATTATAGATATGCATAAAATGAATGTGGTTATGACTCAATCCGAATAGCAGTTTTAATTTGTGTGGCCAATGTTGACGGACGTCTTGTTTATAAGCTGTTCATGTCATACGGACGTCTTGTAATATATAGATACACTGTCCCACATGTTTTGTTAAAGAGCAACTGAAGCATACAATCTTTCCACAAAGATAAATTCAGACCAACATTTGGATATCTACATCATGTAGGACGGATGGACCAACGAACGGACGGACGGACTGACCAATGGATGGACGGACGCCTGGTCGATCCCATAGGCTCACTGTGTGAGCCAAAAATTGCTAAAAGACAACCATTTGAAATAGTGTTTATTGTTGTATTTTCTACCTATGGTTTGTTTTGTTCATCATTGTATTATTGCTGCCATTGTGTTTTCTTTTACATTATGATGGCATTGCTACATATCAGAACTATGTTATGTCACTAACCAGTATACATAATGAAAGAAATATTATACAAGTGCCTAGAAGAATGGTCCCTGGCCATTAGTAGGAAAGTCAGTATTGCATCTCCACAATACACCAATTCACAAAGCAAAAAAACAAATCTTACAATGGAGTGTCTTGACATTAACCCTTTCTATACAATGACCCATATTCACCTGATAAAGCCAAGATGCACCAAGAATGTATAGATAATGAGGAAAATACTGTGAATATTCAATGATAGTAGTAATATGAAATGATCAAATAATGTAACATTACTAATCCCTATGCTGTTGTGGTACATAATTTGATATAATATAGGAATAGATGGTGGAGTGCCAAGATCATATGAACAGGAAAGAGATTTGTAGAACACAGGTGTGACATTGCTTCACTTACCCTCGACTCCCGTTACCATAACTTTTTCATTTTGAAACTGAAAGTCATGACAGTTGCAGGATATATTGCTATAATGTCATTCTACATTCTAGAGCAAGTTCATCTCATTACAGGTAGATCTCTTGAAATTAGAGCATTTGTATCTTTACTTTCCAGACACCCTGTATATATAGAGTGACAAAAACAGAACCACCCCAAATTTATAGATACAAAATAAAAAAAAATTAGGTGGTTCTTTTTTAGGTCACCTTATAAATGATAGCTAGACAGATATTTATATATATAGAATATGTTTCACATAATCATGAAATATTACTCTAGTTTAAAACTAACTAGAAAAACAGCAACTCTAAGGAGTAGCAAATCCCACCGAACAAAACATATTTTGATTATTAGTGGCCATCTTGAAAATTCTTGAGCAGAGCTTGTTTGTAGGCATCAACATATAGAATGTAAACCAATCCTTCAATAAGCATTTGAGTTATCAAAGATAACATTCCTTTTTTCATGAAAAATGGCAGCCATTTTGAAATTCAGCCCCCATCTTGCAAAATTCTTTCTTGAACAAATCTACTTTGTCCCTAGGCATCTTCATATAAAATTTGAACCAAATCCTTCACTGGTATATGAGTTATCCAAGATTATGTTTTTTTTACAAAAAATGGCAGCCATTTTGATATTTAGCAACCATTTTGAAAATCTTTTCTTCAGCATAGCTTCTTTGTCCCGTCAACCTCTAGTATTTGATTTATCAAACATTACATTTTTTTATGAAAAATGGCAGCCATTTTGAAATTCAGCCGCCATCTCGAAAATTGAAAATATTTGAGTTATTTAAGATATTTTGATATTTTGCAGCCATTTTGAAAATTTCTTCTTCAGCAAAGCTTCTCTGTCCCTTGGCATCAGCATATAAAATTTGAACTAAATCAGTCAATTCGTATTTGAGTTATCAAAGATTACATATTTTACAAAAAATGGTGGCCATTTTAAATAGAGTGGCCTTATTGAAAACTCCTTCTCGAGCAGAGGTCCTATACCCATAAGTCATAAGCCTATAAAATTTGAATTAAATCTGTCAACTGATATTTGAGTAATTGCCCGTACAGACGGACGAACAGACGAATGGACGGACGGACTGCTTTTCTATATCCCCCTCGAACTTCGTTCGGTTGGATAAAAATAGAGCAGACTAGGGAGGAATAGTAAAACTGCACAACTGGAATTTAAATTGATATACGTTTAATAGGAGGATGAGTCTGTGATGCATGTTGTATAAAATACTGGTTAACCTTTAGGTTAATTCAAAGATCAAGAGCTTCAGACTCATGTCATATTGATCTATGATATTGTAGGTATATAATAAAAAGTTTAAAAGAATCTTAGAGAATCTTAGCTTCTTACTTTTGTTCTTTTGAGTACTCATCTAACATATAGTCATAATCTATCTTATCTTTACCTGTTGTGTATCTTTATTTCCAGATGAACACGAAACAAGCTGCACCATCTGTTGATAAGAGTTAATTTCCATTAAAAAACAATTATCCGAACAACAGAATGCGTTATTAGATGTCGGATTTCAGTATCATATTTAGCATCACAATATAAATTAAATAAGCCTTTGTACATGTAGATGCTAGATATGCAACAATTGCAAAATAAGGATAAGATAAATATAGTGGTCAGTATATAACAAAAGCTATCATGAGATAACAATAGTTTATTGACACTCACAGCACAATACTTATGTTGGATAAACTGATAGCACCGCAATAACAAACACTAAGAATGTTAACTTAGCATCAACAAATGACATTGGATAATTAATATTGCCACCATTTTTATCAAAAATAAGTTGTTCTTAGGATGTGCATCGCAAAAAGGTATGAAAACTATTCGAATACAAGCAAATAGCTGAATATACATGAACTTCAGTATAATCAAAATACAAGATATTTCTTGAACTTTTTCAATGAAAAAATGTGATAAGACCCAAAGCTGACATGTAAGTTATAATTTTGACTAGACTCTACTATTTCTTTTAAATATATATAACGAGAAGATGCTACATTTTACATAATAATGAAAGTCACATCCAAGATTTGAAACATTAGATTCATCAAAATGGAAAATGATACATATGATTATGATTATGGCTATGAAGATCATCAAAAAATTTTAAGGGAATTATACGAGGACCTTGAAGCTAATGAACTATATCAAACTGGTGAGAGGATATGGATATACGTACCTCCTATATTGATCATTCTTGGGACGTTGGGAAACACCTGCTCCATTTTGGTGCTCTCGAGGAAAAGAATGAGAACAAATACGACAAGTTTGTTCCTAATTGCGCTCGCCATTGTAGACACGTTAGTATTATGGACAGGTTTGTTACGATACTGGATCAGAAGCTTAATCTCCGTTGATGTGAGGAATATCAGTAGCGCTGGGTGTAAAGTTCATATGTTCCTTGTTTATACACTCACTCATCTCTCATCTTGGTTCCTTGTGATGGTCGCCATCGAAAGATTGATTGCTGTGTATTTCCCGCATAAAGTAAAATTGCTTTGCACGAGGATGACATTTCTTATGAGTATGTTGACTGTAATTTTGACAATCTTTGCACTCAACATGCATTTTTTCTGGGCCGTTGATTTAGTAGAAATTAAGCCAGAACATTCTGAATGCTCTGAAATCAACATGGCCCATTTTGAATTTAATCAAGGTCCCTGGTCATGGATCGATGCAATGGTAGCATCACTTGTACCTTTTGTCATAATGTTAGTTTCAAATTGTTTGATTATATGTAAAGTAGTGCTTTGGCGGATAAAAAAGACAAATGCAAGTCACCCAAAAGTCACCAGCATGACTGCTATTTTGGTGTTATGTAATTTTGTTTTTATAGTTTGCACATTGCCTATTGTTATTTTCCTTATGTCTAAAGATGTATGGTACCCCAATGTTTTCCCTCTGGACCCTTTGTACCCAAAGTATAACCTTGGTTGGGCTATTGTTAACATGTTTCAGTATACAAACCATGCTATCAATTTTCTGTTATACTGTCTAGCTGGACCAAAATTTAGAAGAGAACTTGTCTCAATTTTTAGAGAACTAAAATGCTTCAAAAAATGTCTGCATAATACTGTAGCTCCAGAGAATGTTGATTCGATAACCCTTCAAACACAACATTCACAAGTTAATTGAATCATCATGATAAATATAATTATTTATTTGGAGGGATTAAATATGGGTTTTATACTGAAGACCATTATGATATTGACTGGGGGATAAACCCATATTGTGGAATTCACAAGGAAATATGTCTTATACCAAGACATTAAATGATTTCACTTATGTCACTACTTACATTTAGCATTATCAAATATCAATAGGATGATCCATGTAAAAATAATGGATAAATAAACAAATGTATTGGTAACGATTAAAATATTAAAATCAACATTAAATATTCAAAAATTAAAAAAGAAGAATAGAAGATGGTGTCGACTAGGTGAATATAAAATTATGAAATCCATTATGAAATCACACAATTAACACTTCAATAGTTCAAAACAGTCAAGAACACATAGTATTTGACAATTTAATCAGTCTTTGATAGGTTATTAAACAACTTATTATGTATTTAAACATGGTTAATGGGGACTATTCAAGCTAGTTTATTATTATAAAATATTGAAAATAAAGAAATTAGAGAGATATTATGAGAACTTTATGATCAACCCTCGTATATGTTTAACATAATATATCAAATAAATATTGTTAAAGTTAAGATGTTATCACAGCATTTAAAAATGTGTCTTAATTTCAAATTATTTTGCATGCATCATAACTTACATGTACTCTGCTTTTCACAAATCCAAAAAAGTATTAAGTAAATAATTTATTCCAGAGTAAACAAATGTTATACTGTAATTTCTTATGTAAATATGACCACATTTACTTTATTAAATGTGTTTTCCACATAAATCGTGATACGTGTAATACATGGTTTATTAATTAGACCATCAAGGCAATCAAGCTTTAATAACTGCAACAGAAAATACGTAAAGGTATTCATCTAAAATAATTTTTGTTATGTATAGTACATCTTCTTCATATATTTTGTATGTATAATTCAAAAATAATTCTCTAATGAAGTTGACATTCTGCGAATATTGTAATGTTGCTTGAACATCTTTGCTTCACTCCTAACAAGTTTTAAGACATATGACATACACGCACCATATAATGTGATGTTTAATGTTCGGTTAATAAAAGGGAGAAGAAATTCAAATTCAAATGTTGATTGACAACCCTTTGACATTGAAAATTAATGTGTGGTTCTATTGTATGTGCGCAAGACCAGAACGTAGATGTGGTCTTGGTACTAGATAAACCTATGATACATATAAGATACAACAAGGCATTAATATGATACAGATACCAAGCTCCGAACACTGACTGAACACCAACATCAAACACCATCTACAAGAAAAGTTAGAGAACAATATGTAAACTAGGGTGGTCCAAAATATGGCGAAAAACCAACTTTCTTTCGGATCATCTTCCTCATTTGACATACTGTTGTCCATGACCTAAAACACCTGCACACCAAATTTTGAGACCCAAATCCCATGGGAAATTTACCCACGCTTCGACTGAAAAATTCGGTTATTTCATGATTTTTTGCTATTTTCGATAAATTGCCTTTTTCCTGGTATAAAATGTTTCTATTTTTTCATAATAAACATTTTTGTAGGACTCTTTATTACTTAATAATACTAGGAGCCCAAACACCAAATTTTGAGACCCAAATCCCATGTGAAATCTACCCATGCTTTGACTGAAAAATTGTGATTTTCACAGTTTTGTCCGATTTTCAATAGATTACGGTCTCCATTTTCCTGGTATAATATGTTTCTATTTTTTCATAATAAATATTTTTGGATGACTCTTTATTACTTCATAATACTAGGAACCCATACACCAAATTTTGAGACCCAAATCCCATGGGAAATTTACCCATGGTTTGACTGAAAAATTGTGATTTTCACATTTTTTCAGATTTTCAATAAATTGCTGTCTCCATTTTCCTGGTACGATATGTTTTTATAATAAACATTTTTGAGGACTCTTTATTACTTCATAATACTAAAAACCCATACACCAAATATCCACCAAATTTTGAGACCCAAATCCAATGAGAACGTTACCCATGCTTTGACTGAACTGGTGCTTATGATAGCTTATGATGTCTGTTTTAGGGGCATAATATGTTAATAAACATTATGGTAATTCCTTCTTAATCCAAAGAAACACCTAAATATCAAGACTTTAAGTCTTATTGAAAGGCGACAAATTCAGTAGTTTGGGGAAAATTTAGGATCTTTTACTTGTACATTTATATACTGTGGTTAATATTAAGAAGTAATGACTCGACAGCAACTCAAATGCCTTGAAGATTTGGTTTGTTGGTTTCAGTAGGGATACATCACAGGACTTTGGATTTGTGTGAGATGTCATATTCTTTCTTACATCTTTGCAGGGTAAGGTCAAATATCAAATCTGATTTTCTTTGGAGAAATGATTTTTTGATTGATCAATGTATCAATGGCATGGTCTCTGTTGTAACCAGTAAGCCTGTACCAAATCTTCAAGGGATTCGAGCTTCCACTGAGCTTTGTCATTTCTCTGAAAATGTTCATCCCCTGAAAGTACACAATGTAGAAGATAGGAAGAGCAATGAGAAACACTTAAGGTAATTCTGTATGTTCAGAAATTTTAAGTGGAGTCCAATGTTATTTCTGGAACTCATTCCATACTTGGTCAGCTCTTTCAATTTTACACTGAGTTCAAATATGTATTTAGATTATTAGTTGATGGTTAGTAATTTTCTATAATGTACTATGTGCTATGTTTATACACTGTTTGTGCATCTGAATGGAATGAGTTATGCGTTCCTGAAAAAACATGGGGCTCCAATTAGGAAGCCATTAAAACTGAAAATAAGGAATTACCTTAAAGTACTATATAACCATCTTTCACGATGTAACGTATGTAAGGCCAAACAGGATAATTAAGACAACGTGTAATACAATTTATTACAAATTGCACATCACACAACAATGATATGGTGCTCTAAACGACAAAAATCAAAAGTATATGATCAAAGCAAACGTGAATTTCCCATGGGGTTCAGGTCTAAACATTTGGTACATATTAAATGTATGGGTTCCTAGTATTAAGAACATATTAATGTCCTCCTAAAATGTTTAAAAACTAAATATAAGATTAATGTTGATCTATTGAAAATAGGAGAAAATTCGCAGAAAATCACAAATATTTGGTTGAAGCATGAATTAATTTCTCATGGGGCCAGGGTCTCAAAATTTGGTGCATATTTGGGGTATGGGTTCCTCGTATTATGAAGTAATAAAGAGTCCTCACAAAATATTTATTATAATAAAAATAGAAACATATAATACCAGGAAAATAGAGATGTATTGTATTGTATATGAAATAACCCAATTTTTCAGTCGAAGCGTGGGTAAATTTCCCATGGGATTTGGGTCTCAAAATTTGATGTATGGGTTCCTAAGTATTATGAAGTAATAAAGAGTCATCCAAAAATATTTATTATGAAAAGACATCTACCATTTTATACCAGGAAAATGGAGATGGCAATTTATCGAAAATAGCAAAAAATCATGAAATAACCGAATTTTTCAGTCGAAGCGTGGGTAAATTTCCCATGGGATTTGGGTCTCAACATTTGGTGTATGGGTTCCTAGTATTATGAAGTAATAAAGAGTCCTACAAAAATGTTTATTATGAAAAAATAGAAACATATTATACCAGGAAAAGGGAGATGACAATTTATCGAAAATAGCAAAAAATCATGAAATAACCGAATTTTCAGTCGAAGCGTGGGTAAATTTCCCATGTGATTTGGGTCTTAAAATTTGGTGTGCAGGTGTTTTAGGTCATGGACAACAGTATGTGAAATTAGGAAGATGATCTGAAACAAAGTTGGTTTTTCGCCATATTTTGGACCACCCTAATGTAAACACTTTTACTGGTGACTTAAAAATACGTATTTTTTGCACTACCACAGCAGGTCTGGATCAATAGATCATTTGTCACTGTTGTTAACATTGTCTAGCTTTGCACTGAAATGCTTATACAATATAAAACATTGTGTGTAATTGGTTTACTGTAGTAATCTGAAAATGTATAATAAATATTGTTTCAAAAATTAAAATATTTTCTGTATTTTGTGGTTTTGGTTAACAGGAGGAAAACTTACTAAATATCTAATAATAATTCTAGCTTCATCATTGGTCAGTATCAAGCAAAGGTAACAGCCGTAACCTTTGCATCTAAGATGGCGGATGGTAATTGTCAATTTCAATATATAATATAGTTTTCAACTAATTCAACTACTGGAGTATGATAATTTGTTCATATATCATGTGTGGGCGCCACACCGTTCAATGATATCTTCCACCGCTCAAGAGAAGGTAACTGGAAATGTAGGATAAGGTAACGGTTTTCTATAAACTCTAATAACGCTACCGCATATCAGTTAATCATCTGTAAAACCAAAAACCCACTAACCTTCCCTTAAGTGGTGGAAGACATCGTTGAACTATGGTGCCTTCGATTGGTATATAAACAAATGATCATACTCCAGAGTTTCCATGTCATATGTGCCTAATATTGTCCAAATATCAAAGCATTACGTCAACTATGAAGTAGTTTAATTCAATGAAAACTAAAAATATTGAAATCGTCATTTTCCATCCGCCATCTTTGATGCGAAGTTTACAGCTGTTACTTCCACTTGATTACTGACCATGTGGACATAAGACAAAGCAAAAATGAACCTTACTTGTTAATAATTTCCTAAATGCCATTAAATTGAACTATTTTTACTAATACCTAACACTGGTGGATCTAGAAATCGAGAAGGGGGGGGGCCCACATGACAAGGAAGCCCCAGCACTTGCGCGGAAATTTTTTTGAGCCCCTAAAACCCAATATTGGGCCCAAATTTTGAAAATGTCGGCCCTATTTTAAAAATTTGACCTAAAATAGGCCAAATTATGCCCAAAAAGGCCTACTTTTGAGGCCCTCAAAAACTTTTGGGCCCAAAAATCTTTGAGGCCCTGAAATTTTTCTGGGCCCACCTTAGCGAGGGGGATGGGGCCTAGATCCGCCTCTTACCTCTTACCATGGGTTGTCCACCGAATTTTTGAGATAAATAAACTTGAAGACACTAACCCCCTCTATCGTCAGATTTCTCAAGAAAATATAGATCCCGACTACAGACATACATGTAGTATACAGGCTTTTACATTGTGAACAACACCTGGCCGTAAAACAATCTACCCACAGTTCTTTACTTTATACTTGAATATAAGGCTGGAAAATGTATGTTAATAATTTTGACAATTAAACATGTCTGAGAACAATGGAACATCAGGACACACAAGATGTTTTCGTAATTGGTAACAAAATACAACAGAAGCTGATCGAGTTCTTATTTCAAAGTTGAACTGAGCTACTAAAATTACAAGACATGACAAAACAGTTTGATATAACCATAGAATTAGATGACACACTGTAGTCTGTATTATTAGAATTTGTAGAATCATAAAGTGAATGCATAAGATCTAATCATGCTTGTTTCCCACTTATTATGTCTGCTACTAGTATAAGAAGGTTGCAGTTATGTAGAAGGTGGGCGGTAGTATCTCAGTTTTCTTGTCTCTGCTTTTCAAGGCAAAAAGATAAATAAAATCACTTACAGGCTTATAAGCCTTTATCTAAAAAAGAGACTATCACAAATAAAAATTCACTCAAGTCATGGGTGTTATTTTGGGTGTTTTCAAATAAACCTCCCAAGTTTCAAGAATATAATATACTATCTAAGAATATACAGAAAATATCAGAAAATATGTTCCATTTAGGAGGTGTTCTGATTATACAAGTAGAGGTTCATTAACATTAAATGAGTTGGTCTTGGGGACTCTGAAAGGTGTTCCACTTCAAGAGGTTTCCACTTACCATAAGGTGATCAGCAAACAAATCAAGCGCTGAAATAAATCTACTCAAAAACAGCCATGACTGGGATACAGTTTCTGGAGATTGGCAAAACCACTCATGAGTAAAAAATCGTCAACATCCTTACAAATGATAATTCACTATCATCAATTTTGCAATTTATCCAGCTGGCTACTGTTAAAAATAGCAATTAATATATGGCTGAATTTAATACTTACATCCTCCTCATTATAGGCCTTGCGGTCTTCTATTGTACGATCAGCGACATTCTTGTAATATGCTGAAATAAAGAACAATACAATTGTGGACAGATGGGGGGGTAGGGTTAATACATATACACAGTGGTAAAATTGGTTTGCTTTATACCACTGATTAAAAGAATTCAGCCACAAAAGGGGGACTTATACTTCATGTATTGTATCAGCTGAACTTAAAAACTGATGAAATAGAATACATTTACAGTTCCATGGCTCAGTGGTAGACCGTTAGTCATGAAATGGTTCTGAGAAAAAAATCCCACTGGGGTTAACTAACTTTGAAAATTTTATCTAAGGATTCATGATGCACTTAATCTGTGGAATGTTTTCATCAATTAAAATTTTATGGATTATAATACATACCATAAGCTTGTTCTTCATTATATTGTACCCCGTCCAAGCCGTATCTGTGTTTATTTCCAAGCGCCATCATCGACAGTCTGTGATTGGTCAATGCACCATCAAGGATATATGAGTGACCCTATTGGAGATACACGTATATCATAGGCTGAATTTTAGGAAGACAGTTGAGGCTAAGAAAATGGATTGAGATGCAGCTTTATAGCCCTTGTAAAATAAGAACTTGTCTAAACACATTAGTATTTATTTACTGACATTAAAAGTCACTCTAAATAATACAATGGCATTATTTCAGAATAAGATCATCTTGTATTTTAGGAAATAGTTCTAAAATACACAGAATAACCAGAACAACGGCAACGCCAAAGCGTAGCGAATCCCATCGAACAGCCATGGATGGCATTTTCAAAATGGCCGCCTTCTACCAAAAGTGTCATTAGACCATTTGCCATACTTATAGTATTCACATACCAAATATGAACAAAATCGCTCCACTACTTTTCGAGTTATAGTAAAATACATTAAAATGGCGGCCATTTTGAAAAATGGCCGCCTTCTACCAAAAGTGTCATTAGACAGTGTGCCATGCTTACAGTATTCACATACCAAATATGAACAAAATCGCTTCACTACTTTTCGAATTATCATAAAATACATTAAAATGGCGGCCATTTTTCAAAATGGCCACCTTCTACTAAAAGTGTCATTAGACAGTGTGCCATCCTTATAGTATTCACATACCAAGTATGAACAAAATCGCTTCACTATACTTTTCGAGTTATAGTAAAATAGGTTAAAATGGCGGCCATTTTTCAAAATGACGGCCATTTTTTAAAATGGCCACCTTCTACCAAAAGTGTCTTTAGACAGTGTGCAATGTTTATAGTATTCACATACCAAATATGAACAAAATCGCTCCACCACTTTTCGAGTTACAGCAAAAATCGTAAAATAACGAGTAAAGGCCGCCATTTTTCAAGATGGCTGCCATGTGCTTCTTTAATATCTAAATTTCTAGCTTTATTAATGTCCTATATAATTTTTTTACATCTTAAACATATTGCTATTACAGTTTTACAAATTGCACCTAAATTACTGTAAATTCGGCACTAAAATGGCCACCATTTTGAAATGAGCGGCCATTTTGAAAATCGGCTTTTGAGCAGAACTTCTTCCCCCATAGGGTATATGTGTACAAAATATGAACAAAATCGGGCCAACGGTATTTGAGTTCTTGCCCGGACGGACGGACGGACGGACAGACGGACGGAGGCGTTCCCTATATCCCTCCGAACTTCGTTCGATGGGATAATTAAGTTGAATTCTATGAAATCTAAATACAGATTTGGAGGTTGATTTTTAACTTTAAACGAAATAGGCCCACCAGAGTATTATCAGCTCGAACTTGAAGACCATGGGAGTAGATAACTGCAAGCATCAATGAGGCATCATGGTTACCATAGCAGCTAGCTTGTTTTAGCAAAGGGATCACACTAATGATAGACCTCAACCCATGATCTTCCTGAAAAATAGAAAATTGTTCATTGTTCAACATCGGTAAGTATCTGTTTCTTTGAAATATTGATTTCAAAAATTCATGTATGTACCATTTTATTTTATTTTGGAATAAGGTGATGGTAAATTTCCATAAATTGTGGAAATACACTGTCAAATTTAAAAAGCCAGTTGTTTTTTATTGTGGTTTATAATCAAATGCTGCCATCTATACTTAGATGCCCCACAATTCTTTAGTATTTGAGGAAAAAATTAAGGAAGACAGTATGCTGGGTTGGGGGATTTTATTATAAAAGTAAGACCCATCAGCTCTGACTTGTGATCCACAAGGGTCAATGAGAAACTATGGTTACCATACCAAATGGCTTGTTTCAACAATGGGATCACACTTAGAATGGATGGAACAACAGTAAGATGCAAAACACTCTGGCGCTTTATATGAGTAAAGTACTGAAGTTGATTTTGCCACATTGTAAAGTAATAAACCGCTCTGTCTGCACCCCTCCCACATTCCCAGTATCTCATCCCACTGATGTGTTTCCAATGTGTTAATATGATCGCACAAACTTAACATACTTACAATTGTCATGGTAACATTTTTATAGATGGCACCACCAAGAGCTGCGATAGGATCGCTCCTACCATCAAAAACTGCACGTCGCAAGTGGCGAGTCATCCACCTAAACTGACCAGGCCGAGAACCTGGGGTAGCACTGCAATGTGCCATATTTTGAGATTCATCCTTGAAGCTGGCCAGGAATGTGTTTCTGCATGATTCTGAAAGTGCATCAAATACATGTACATTCTAATATGAGCATCAGACTAAATAAGGTTAAGTGAGCAGAAATACATACTGTCTGTGTTTCTCAGTGTGGAAACATCACTTTGGTTATACATGGACTTGGATGAGGTGATTTGATAGCGCAGTAAATAGTAGATATATAGCACAAAGTTACTGGATGCAGTTTAAGCTCAGGCTGGCTGGCCAAGGTTTAAACTATACTAGCATACAAAAAACAGTGCATGATTGCAGTTTTATCTCATTAAAAATACTGAGATGTCTGATATAGGATTGCTCCACAATGTCCCGATATACAAGTAATTGATGATAATACATGCCACCAAATATACACAAAAACAACTTACTTTTTTGAATGATACTTTGAAGGGCTGTTCTGGCAAGAGTTATTTTATGGTCGAGCCATATAGTATATGAAGCACATCTTTTCGCTCTCTGAGACAGCCCAAGCTCATATATAACATGGTACACTGGTACAGGTGGAATCTTGAATAAAATATATAAGCACAATGAACAAATAGGACAAGTATGAAATATTGTGTTATAAAAAGAAACTTTGTAAGCAAAATGGTTCATGATAAAACAAGCCAATACATTCTAACCAATGTTCAATTGTACAACCATTCTCACAAAAAAGATATGAAGCATAAAAGAATAATTAAATTTAATATTCTGAGGAGAGGTTGCATATGACCTCAATATTTCCATAAACTGAGGAGTGACAGTGATCTACTTCTATTGGTTATTTATTTATTTATTTTTTCTCTAAAATCTGAGTTAACATCATGCTACTGTTTGAACTTCATTTGTGCAAAATGTTCCATTAAATTACATGTAATAACAACTTGTCTCCCTTTTAATGATGTGTGTACTCAATAGGTCAATATATTGGTTACAAGAATGTAAGAAAGAACATTTAAAGGTTTTGCAACAGATGGGGCTAATTATACATGTACCTCTGTGATTTGAACCTTTCTCCTCCTATAAATAGAGGCTTGGCCAATGTATCCCTTGAATGCTGCAATTTTACTCGTCCCTCCAAGTAGCAAAAAACCTTTGGTGTCATCATAATAATATGGCCTTGGTAATCTGTAAAAAGAATGGAATTTTTAAATCTTATGTTTTCTTAATATATAATAAATGCAAAGGGTAAACCCATAATATAAGGTACATGTATTAAAGCCAAGAACACCAAAACACCAGAAAACACCAAAACATACTGATACAACTCTTATATGGTTATATAAACAACTGAACATCAAAATACAATTGATGTTAAAACAAAACAGTGATACATTTCATAAACTCACATATAGGTTGCATCAAATTTGATTTTCCCATCATCGCATGATGCTGAGAAAGTCCATTGTTTATTGTCAAAATTTACCACCAGATGGCACCATTGTTGTTTGGGAATTAAGCGATATGTCCATGCCTCCATCTTAATGCCTTGCTCATCGTATACCCATATATGGACACGTCCTTGAATGAAGGATGCATAAATGATACACGCATATTTATGAACATATGAATAAGTGGATGAAGGTGAATACTAACCTCATTGTCAAAATACAATTTTTTTGCAGAAAAACTAATTTCAGTTTAACAACTTCTTCCATCAAAAATTAAAATTTTGATTAAAATCCCCTTGACTATTTTTATTACATATACCCTTAATTCAAATTAATGCTTTATTCAAGTTATTACTTTATTCAAGTGAATATGTTATTCAAGTTAGCACTTTATTCAAGTCTTATTAATACTGTACCTTGCTTATTAACTGCAACTAGAGGGGTTTGAAACTCATGGTTTGCAGAGCTTGTGTGTAACAATGAGCAGACACTACCTTTACTGCCTAATGGGCAGAAATCAACAGCATAGATCCACAAGGAGACAGTAAACCTAAACACAAAAAGGTGTATTATGTATTACATATCATGGTCTGCAGAGCTTGTGTTTAATGATGAGCAGACACTGCCTTTACTGCCTAATGGGCAGAAATCAACAGCATAGATCCACAAAGATACAGTAAACCTAAACACAAAAAGGTGTATTATGTATTACATATCATGGTCTGCAGAGCTTGTGTTTAATGATGAGCAGACACTGCCTTTACTGCCTAATGGGCAGAAATCAACAGCATAGATCCACAAAGATACAGTAAACCTAAACAGAAAAAGGTGTATTATGTATTACATATCATGGTCTGCAGAGCTTGTGTTTAATGATGAGCAGACGCTGCCTTTACTGCCTAATGGACAGAAATCAACAGCATAGATCCACAAGGAGACAGTAAACCTAAACAGAAAAAGGTGTATTATGTATTACATATCATGGTCTGCAGAGGTTGTGTTTAATGATGAGCAGACACTGCCTTTACTGCCTAATGGGCAGAAATCAACAGCATAGATCCACAAGGAGACAGTAAACCTAAACACAAAAAGGTGTATTATGTATTACATATCATGGTCTGCATAGCTTGTGTTTAATGATGAGCAGACACTGCCTTTACTGCCTAATGGGCAGAAATCAACAGCATAGATCCACAAGGAGACAGTAAACCTAAACAGAATAGGGTGTATTATGTATAACATATCATGGTCTGCAGAGGTTGTGTTTAATGATGAGCAGACACTGCCTTTATTGCCTGTATATGGGCAGAAATCAACATATAGAAAAGATGTTCATCAATATTTAGTCTAGGACTTTTATTTTAATTTTAAAATTTCAAAATTTACAAATAGTAAATTGTGATTTAATAAATATTTGTTATACACAAATAAGTCTAAATCTAATCTAAAATTCAGCATAAAAAATACAATCGTAACTTCTAGATCAAATAAGTAGGATGTCATGATGATAAAATGTGACAAAATTTATTCTTTACCAAGGAGCTGGGATTTCCAATAAAGCTGGAGCTTTGAACGGCTGTAATTTCTCCCAAATGCCATAAAATGTCCCCCCTACAGCAAATGGAAACTGCACAATTTCCACATACTCTGCAAAATTGAAAATAAATATACACAAATATGCAGAAAAGATACAGTATCAGATAGAGTTATTCTAGCTTTCCATTCATAATTTTACTGTTCTAGGAGATTATTAAATACTATTATGATTTCAAATGTAATTCACATATTAAATAATTGATAAAATCTTTGATGTTCCTTAAAGATGGTTCATATATTTCAAAGGGATTTAAACTTTTCCATTATCAAATTTTTGCCTTACTTTAGTGGTAACTCATTGTTGTTCGGTTTTAACAACCCTACCCTACAACCCTAATTTCATATGCTTAAATATGGAAGTTATTGAAGATTGTAGATGCAGAAATATCCAAATTGAATTGAATAGAAAAAGGGGATGTCATTGAAAAGGAGGATATCATTGAAAATGGGGATGTTTCAAAACTCTTGCTAGACAAATAACCTTGAATATAAGGCTTATCCTGAAATAGTCAGTTTTAGAAAAAAGACACAAGGAATGAAAAAAAAAAAAAAAAATTATGACAATTTTGAGACTTTACCTGTCATGATTGTATAAAAGATTTTGAAGTCAATTACATCTTCGTGATCTTACCTGGTTCAACTGGACAACTCAAAAAGTCCAAGTGTGTAAAGTTCAACAAGATTTCTAGTCCCCATGACAGACATTCCCGTGGAGGTCTTTTTGGTCTTGAAAATGGATCAGCTATTTCAAGAGTCCAATATTTTTCAGCAATAACATTATGCTGAATTTGAGTATTTTTCCTCTGAGAATTTGAGTACTTTTGTTTCGTCTTTTCTGATTCTATTACTTGAGATTTTTCAGACATATACTGCTCTATAGTGTTTTTTTGTGTTAATGCCACATGTAAGGTCGCAGCTTTAGCATATACATACTCCCTATTGAAGAAATCAGGTGCATACAAAATATTTGAAATCTTTTCCTTTAATCGCACATTTAATGGAACTTTTACGGCAACTTCTGGGTTACACGTCCATTTTTTATGATATAATGTTTTATTTCCTTCATCTAATAATGCCACAAGTTTTACTTTTATTTGAAGCTCTACAGCACAGTAGTATTCGAGAGCAAATGTGAAGTCATCAGTCATGAAGGTTGGGAAGTTGTGGACTTGTATAAAGCTCTGTGTATTAAACGTTTCTCCTCCATTGTCACTATCGCCCACATGTTGGGATGCGAAATTCTGGAGATTCTGAAAATATAAAATGTTTTTCAATTGGCTGTTTTCAACAGAATTTTGACAAGGATGGGGGTATTTTCTCCATGGGTCTGTTTCCAATCACTACGTTACTCAAGTTCTGGCAATCTGTCTTAATTTTCTGTTTGATTTGAAACCTCCAAAGTGTCAGATCTTAAAGACATCTGACATCAGAAACTTAAAAAGTAAGTCAAAGATGTCAGAGTTGGAGAGTTATCCCCTCATAAAATAGACACATTAATTGAGAACATAACTAGAAAACGGCAACTCCACGGAGTGGCAAATCCCAACGAACAAATTTCCATTAATACGTCTGATATTATATTTACCATTTACTCTAGCCTTGATTTGCAGATAATAAGACAGACATATAACTAAATGTAGCCATATTTTGAAAGGATTTGGAAATTTTTGTGAAATCCAACACCTGGCAGCCATTTTGAATTTTCTGAGGCAAGAATCAGAAAAACAATACAATAATTGTGATCTACTCTAAATTTCCTTTAATTTGAGTATAATATAGCCTCTTTGAATATAAGATCAAGAAATTATTGCATAATCACACATTAGGCAGCCATTTTGAATTTTTCGAGGCCCGAATCAGAAAAAAAGATACAATATTTGGAATCTACTTTGAATTGCCTTTCATTTGAGTATAATAAAGCTATACTTTAGAAAGATCTCAAAATTAACCCAAATTTCTGTTTTCCCGAATGGCCCCTGGGGTTCAGAGTGAAAAACACAGAATATATGTATATATATAAGCACTAGTGCCAAAAGGGAAAGGACCAAAAGTTGTAATGGAACTTAACAAGAAAAAGCAAACTCTAAGTGCATACCAGTTAAGAAAAACAAACCCCATATAGCCCAAAACCATGATCTAACGTGAAAAGAAACAATGTCTAATACCCCCTTTCCCCCCACCATTCAAGAATCAATATCACAATCCAAGACCAGAAGACCAAGGGGCATTTCATTCATACTGAAGTCATTACAATACATGTTGAAGAAAAGATTAGAAATTGATAGCCAATTGAAAGCCAATACTCATAACCTCAAAAATTGTTGTAGATACAAGTACTCATACAAGATAGAGCATTCAGTCTCAAATGATGTGGGATAGATTAAATCCAGTCTCCAAGTCCATAGGCATTTCAAAGGGTCAACATCCATTCACAAAAGCCATCGCCATAATCCATAAAACATGTGAAATAGATAGAAGTTGTGACTATACTACCAAAATCTAAAACAAAAACATTTATAACTTTGGTTTAAAATGAAAAACATAACATTCTCGCAAAAAATTCCAGCCATTTGTAAAGTGGCAGCCATCTTACTATCTACCAATTTACATCTTTCCACCAAATATGAAGAAAATCTGTCTATGAATATTTGAGTTATCTTCCGGACGGATGTGTGGACGGACTGACTGACTGACAGACGGAGGGCTTCACTATATCCTTACCAAAATTTTACTGAAAAGGTTAAGTGAGACTTAGAAAATGATGTCTAATCATATGTTATGTCATCATATTAATCTGCCCCATCAATTAAAATTTACCTCAGCTAGTTTGAGACTCTTCCTACATGTATTAAGTTCCAACTCATAAATGAAAACCATTTTTGGTGATTTTAGGATGAGAAATGAAGAGACACCCCATTTAATGACAAGCTTAAAATAATGCAATTCATTTATGATATTAGTTATTTATTTATATTCACAGGTGCTAAGTCATCCCATGGCCAACATTATTGCATACTGAGATGTACTTAATTAATCAGTTGTATAAATAAACATTAATAACAATAAAAATTGCATACTGTTTAAATGTTTTGCAGGATCTTCATGATAAGCAAAATCATTGAATATAATAAATGTAACTTTGTTGAACAATAATAAACCCACGAGAAATTGTTTCCTCTGCCCGGATGCTCATTCTTTTTAATTTCTCTCTAAATATTAAATGAAGAATATAATTTCTTTGTACTTTATAACAATTCAAAAGTAATGATTCCATGTCTTAATTGTTTATTCAACTATTTTCAACTATTTAATTGGATCATGTTTATCATACGACTTTACCTATCATGGCTTTAATTGCTACAAAACAATGGCATCAGCAGATTGTATCAAGGCAAGAGATGACATTGTTAATTATGGATGAATACTTTCAAAAAAGCAAAAGTCATGATGATGATTCGAATTAGGTTATCAATGTTCAGAAACCCATCAATAAAATTCAGTTCCAAAAATAGTTACCCATGAAACAATGAAGAAAAAATGGGAGAAACTAACAGGAAAAAGGCGAACCTAAATTGCCTTACTTTGTAAAAATTCTAATAAAAATCAGACGACAGGCATACAATTCTAAATAAATTGAAAATCTATGAAATAAACTTAACATATATGAAATGTTAAGAAAGGGTGAGTAGGTAGGTAAAACACAATATAAAAGCAGCACAACCAAGCATCAAAACACAATATCATTGAGGTCCTGATATAACAAATCCAGAGCAACTATCTTAGAGGCAGTATGGTAGGATTGAGCATCTGTGTTTTTGTTCTGATGCTTGTATGTCTTCCAGAAGAAGTATTTGGCTGTTCTTGCCTAGGAGGTGTTACAACACAGGAATCATTTTGTCAATCAAAATTTGGTAAGTGTTGTCCTGATAATGTGGGAATATAAGGTATAAAAGATCCACTCATGATTTATTTAAGATGGGACAAATAAGTTGGTACATATGAATTACACACAGTATACACTGTGTATGTTTCCATGGAAAAGATTGATACAGTTTTTTCCTTTCCTAAATAGCTTTGACTATAGATCAACTTGAATTCATTCAAAAGATTTAAAAACATGTACCAGTATGTGATTGTTATTTTCCGATTGGTTATGACAGATTTCTGTTGAAGGATTCTTCTGTGATCAATGTCAGTCATCTCCCCAGTTATATTTCATTCTTTTGATTGGACGCAACAGGGTGGCATTTTTGAGCAATGCTTGTGACAGCACTGAATGCATTTTCTGATTGTTATAGTAATTCTTGGAACAATCCTGAGTAAAACAAAGACAGAAGCAGGGATTAATAATGGCTATTGGGTTTACTCAGTGAAGATACAGGCAGATTACAAGGTAAATAAGTCTGCAATGCCTCAGTCACATTGATTCATACATTTTTCATTCACAAATGCCCATCATTTATATATTTTCCATTCACAAATGCCCATCATTTATATATTTTCCATTGACAAATGCCCATAATTTATATATTTTCCATTCACAAATGCCTATCGTTTATATATTTTTCATTCACAAATGCATATTATTCATATATTTTTCAGGGTATGGGATGGAAAGGAAAGGTGATAGATATCTACACAGGTCCAAATACAGCTGCTTGTGGAGTAGATTTCTTAGAAGTGGGCACAAGATATGTATTAATGGGTATACTTGGATTTTTGATTTATTTTTTTTCTATTTATCATTTTCAGTTAACAAGCCTGAACAATATCAACATAGAAATTAAAAAGACTTAACTTTTTCTCAAATTAAATATTACCATGTTATTTGCAAGGAAATCTTAAGAAATTGATAGTTATTTTAAAACTGGGATTAACTGGACAGATGATGAATATGAATGCAAATATGTGATATACATTTCCATGTTTTCTTGAAAATAAAATAAATATTATCTGGAATAAGCAAAAAATGATCAAGAACCAACTTTTATTTTTAGGATACATGCAATCCCAATCAGGTATGTGAATTAACACATTAATTTGAATCCATATAAAATAGAATCTATCAAAGAATTAATAAAATGTAAATCTATCATTTTATTAGAGCAGCTGAAATAAATATTTGTTTTTATCATCATGGATTTAGAAATCATCTTGTATTATCTATATCAATTTAAATTGAGATGATATTCAGGATGCAAAAATAATATTATATTCAACTGTATATCAAAAATAAAATGAACACATGATGTTATATATTGATTTTTGAGACTTCATGAATAACTAAGGCCAAGAAACAAAAGGAGAATGTCAAAAATGTTTTACAAAACACAATATGTAAAAATGGCAACATTCAGTATCGTCATATGGTGAAGATTTATGCAATTCACAAGTTACAACAATTTTGTGTGCATGAAGGTATATTGGAAATCTTCTTTTCGACTTTCAACATTTTTTGTCAAATTCAGTTGCAAAAGTAGATTAACCGGCAAAATATAACCACCAGACATTTGTTACAGATGTCAGTTGTGGGTTCTGGACTCACATGGTATAAGCGCTTTCAAAACCTATCCTATAAAATAAGGTACCTGTACAATTTCAAGCTTTAGTGGAATAATATGGGACAGAATAAAAAGGTCATTAAAGCCAAGTATTTCACTGTTTTTTTATCTAATAGATACAGAGTATAATATAGCAAACATAAAATTGAAATCAAAATATGTTCATCTTCATTTCAGGACCACTTTCGAAACCCCGTCCCTTCATAGGCCTATGTGGCTATTTCGCAAAGGCATCTGACGTGTCTAAAACTGAATTCAGTGGATTTAAGAAATACTACAAGCCCAACTGTGCATGCAAGGTAAAAATCTGAAATAAAATACATGTAGAAATAATTATTATAAAAGGTAATATCATGGCGCTCATAGGAAAATGCTTGAAATTATGTGATACTATAATGTGAGAATTATAATCAAAGTGCATGTTAAATCAAGGCAATCTGCATCTATTTCTTGGTGGCGACATAAAACAGGTTAAAAGGTACATTCGAGTACAATCAGCCAACTCAAACAGAATTTGTAAATCTAAATCTTAAAGTAGCTCTTGATTGAGGCGTTCACCTTTTAGATATGCCATGACAAGAATAGCTGCCAACCAGGCCAGTGCTACCTGCCTAAATCTAATACCTACCCAGAAGGACGTGGGCCACAATGCTACAGAAAAAATGCCATATGCAAAATTGCTTGCCACAATAACAAAGGTAAGAACTGGCAAGAGTTGATACCTAAAGGTAGTAGATTGGTCAGGTCTGGGTAGCAGTATAATTAAAAAAACCAAGGCCTGTAGCCAGCTTGAGTCATTCATTTTGTTAATTTTCCCCAAAATTTGAGGGTGGTCACTTTTGACTAATTCAATATACCATTGTAAAGGTATAGCCATCATTTATATATATTTTAATGTTTTATTACAGGTGTACCTATGTGTACATGGGACCTGACCAAATATTGGTGGGGGTGTATGAGACAGAAATCCAACAAGCCATGCCAGGACTTGGGTTGCTTTTAAATGGTTCACAAATTAACATTATCTAGTGACATTAGTCCACTCCTTTGAAGAGAAAATTAATAGAAACACACCTTTTGGCCAATTACATTTTCTATATATCTCATGTTCTGTAACTTATACAAAATTCTAGCATGAATAAAATATGATGAATAATAAAGAAGCAAATTTTTACATTGTTCAAGTACATGTATGTAGATTTTTTACTACAAACCTTGAAAAAACTAACATTCTACAAATGAACTAACAGTTCAGATAAAATCAGCTCATTAGCTCATAATGATATGTTGGAAATGCAATTGCTGATGGATTGTCCTGTACCAGGTCATTCAATAAGTTCACGGAAAAATACTCTTATTTCTAAGGTTTTTAATATTCTTTTTCATGAAATATTCACATAAAATCCCCAAAATATCTGGTTATTGATTCGTCAAAAAGCATAACAAGTAGGGGCACCCAAGGGTTTTAAATACAGTCTATCACCATGGGATTTCAAGAGATCTTGAAAGCCCAATGCTATCACTAATAATTTTAGCATTGTGCTTCATACCACTTAACAACACAAATTATACATGTTTTAATAATTGTATGAATGCCATCATAAAACTTTGGCTGTATGCATTGTGTCACTGTTAATAACCCAGATGCGAGTAGAAATAATCTTGATTTACTATCATTAAAAATTCAAAATTCAGTCAAAGTAATATCATATTTGAAATCTACATGTAAAATTACATCTAGAAATGTGATTTTAAAAAGTGTTTATCAACTTTGAAAAATTAATTTTCTTTGAAAATGTGACTTCTAGCTCGGGGAGATTCCCCATAGACCCCATGCTATAAAATCACAAAAAATGAAATATCTTTTCTTTTAGTGGACAGATAATATTTTGCTTTACTGGACATATTTTCATTAGTATAAGTATCAGACACATAAGGGTTATATTAAAATTGAGCCACTTAAATTGATAATATTCAAGTTTAAGGGAACTTTCTTATATACCTGCCATGTTAATTGACCCGAATCAGCCACCTGGTGGTGAAACTGGTAACTACCTACTCGCATTTGGGTAATTGCAAATATCCGAGTAATAAATCAATCATCTGGTATGAAGATCATTTGAATGAAATTTAGAAATGAAAGCATGAAATAATTTTACATCAAAGTCATCGTGATTAACAGTTTTTCAAAACTACTATAATAGTACATCTACTATTTCAAAAATCATAAACGAAAATATGATGGTAACATGCATAGTACAAGCGTTAGTTAGTCTACTTTTATTTTCTTCTATTGGTATAACATCTGGATGTAGATGTGCTACACCACATCCACAAGAGGCTTACTGTTCTTCATCTTTTGGTAAGTCTATTTGAAACCAACTTCCGCATTTGAAGATACATGTACTTGTAAATAAAGTTTTTTCATAAATTATATTTGGGTGATGGAAGAGATACATTTATTGTAGAATTAAAATGGTTCTCTATTACTAAGCCATACTTTTCCATCAATGGCAGTATACTTCATATTTCAACTGATATTAACGAAAGGATGCCAAAGTTATCTAAACAGAAAATATTTGAATATTAGAGAGGACACTGATAATATAGTCAAATAATACACTTTGATTAAACCTTCTAACTTTCAAACACCATGGAAACCTCCATCAGATTTCTCTTAAAATATGTTTTAGTGATTTTGTGCAAGGTGATGAGCCAGGTTAAAACTGGAAACCCTGATGACATTAATGATGGATACAAGATATTCACTGTTAAAGTCCTCGAAGATTACAAAGTATGTAAAATAAATATCTATTAATGAAAACAAAGGCCAAACAAAAAACACACAATGCTTGTATATGAGACAAACTGGGCCAAATAAGTATGACTTCAAAGAAAGAATGGGTATCGATATGGCGAACTCTTTGAACACACATTTCTCTTAAACCAGTCATCAAAAATTTCTGAAAATCTTACAAATTGTCAATTTAATGGCCATCTTTTGAATGGTAACAATATAATTTGAAATAGATATACATACTTTCATCTATATTGTTTTAAAAAACACATCAAACACTTGTTTTGTTCTTGGTATCATGTTTCCAGAGTGAAATAAAACATCTTTCCGAACCTCATTGGAACAAAATGACATAAACACAACATGTCTCTCAATATTGTAATTGTACAAAGGAAATTTTGGTTGATTTTAAAAAAGTATCTTGTTAATGAAATAAAAGGTTTTTCTTGATTTTTATCTATTTTGGGGAGATTTTGTTTTAATTTTTTGAATACTTTTTTAAAATCAACCAAAAATTCTTTTGTATAACTTTAATATTGAGAGGTCTAAAAACATGTTGTATATGCTATTTTATTCCAACAAGGTTCGGAAAGACATTTTATTTCATTCTCAAGAATTGGTAGAAAGGAGCAAAAACAATTGCACTAAAAAAACAAAAAAATGTTAACAAAAACAGTTATATAAAATATTTCTAAATAATTTTCGCATTAAATTGTTGTCAATCAGTCAACATTACATAAAATACCATGTTTTTTTACAGAATGTTTTCAATGATTGGTTTAAGAGAAAAACATTGTTGAATTCAGTTCTCCATATCGATACCTATCCTTTAAATATTATACTTATGAAAAAGATTATGAGCTGATCTTTTAGCAAATAGTAATTCAGCAGCCCATGCAACTTCATTCTGACTTTTATTACAATATCATTCATCAGTATTTATATAACATTTATTATAAATAAATAAGGATTTGGGATGGACTGGAATGACCAAGGAAATCTATACAGCCCCTCATGGCGGTGCATGTGGAGCATTCCTGGACAATGACAAGAAAAACATTCTTTCAGGTAATTTAGAATAATAAAGAACATGTTTTCCAAAATGAATAAAAACTATTTTCATCTGGATTACATTGACAACAGTGGCAAACTTAAACTTGCAGTGATTTACAATGATAAAGATCTTATTTTCTGAATAAACTAAAGCATGAAAAGAGTTACAGATCATTATGGTTTCATTGGAAAATTGAGAGAGACACTCAAGGTGTCAAGCTAAACTTGGTTCACTCGATGTTCCACTGATAAAAAATGCTGTGGCAGATAAATCAAAATAAATATATAAAAAAAATATATATAAAAAATCCTTTATATATATTGATTTGTTTTAGGAACTTTCTACAAGGGGACACATGCAGGTATAGTCTTGTACTCTTGTTTAATTCAAATAATAATTTTGGAGATTCAGCAAAATTTGAACTGTATCATTCCATGACATAATTAAAAGGATATCAATGAGAAAATCACTACTGGTACATGTATTTTAGAACCATTCCCAGGGGAAGGTGTCCCATATATAAGTCTATGTGGCTACAACCCTGAGTTGTCAACTGTACCCAAAGCTGTCTTGAAAGGCTTTAAGAAACTCTACAAACAGCACTGCGAGTGTCAGGTATACTACTTAAATCTTGTAACTGTTACAATAGTGTTTAAACATTCCCTCACCCAATAGAGATAAAGTAAAACTAATGAAATTATATGATGAATTATTCTCAGTTCACTAAGTTAACCATTCACTGCATTCTGCAAACAACAACATGTTCTAAAAAATATATGTTCATTTATCTGTTTATAGATCTGTAGCTCTGACTGTAAACTGGGGAACTGCTATCTCCCATATAATTCTAAAGGTCCAGGGTGGTGCTACAGAGATGCAGTTTGTCAGCTGGCATGGAAAGATAGTGAAGGTAAACAGTGTAACTGTTTTAATAGTGGGAATATAAATGTATTAGAAATGATTTGTAATCATCTACATATACATCTATCTTATTCCCCTATTTATGCATGTGAAATTGAATTTCCTTTTCCACTATCTCAGCTACAGTTTTAAGGATGTTTTCGAACTAGCAAAATAAAGTGAATTTCGAGTTCAATTTGTACAGGTTTGTGTAAAAAAAACCTAGCAGGGTTAGGAATTTTTATTTATTTATAAAGTTGGATCTGGACGATACATGTACATTATTTTCGATGTCACGTTTTGAGGTTATTTCACATCGTAAGAACGTTTTGACAACGTTAACTTTTAACGTTAAAGGTGCAACAAGTAGTGCAGAGGGGCCATTCAACGATCCTGGACCAGTGTTAAAATATATTTAAGTTTGGATATTTCATCAAGACTAACATCTATTTTTATTTTCTACAAAGAAACCCCCTAGATAATCATTATTTCAGATTATATTCCTCTTGAAACATGGTGGATCTTAAAAATATAAAAGTGGACGTCCCCTTTTTGAAGCTTTGAACTGAATTTACACTTTTTAATGCCGAAATTGATAGTTTATCCATACATTTTAAGAAAATAGGTATGTCGAGGAAGATGTAAAGCCAACTGTTGCCTTGATAGCTCAGAAAAAGTTAAAATTTTCCTATTTTCTCTCTACAAGCCTTATTGCCCCTTTAAAATAACGTCGGTAATGAACCGATTTAGTGAGAACATATTGACGTCTTTGTAACGTTTCCTTAACTCACAAATATTTTGAAGCCACAATGTTGAAATTCAATCATCCATCGACGTTTTGCTGAATATTTAAATAACGTCAGATCAATACGGTCCATGAACGTCATTATTGACGTCACGTTTTGAGGTTAATTCAAATCGAAAAAACGTTTCTACAACGTTAAATTTTAACATTAACAATATTCGGAAATGAACTGACTTAGTGAGAACACAACGTTTTTGTCATGTTTTTTTCCACCATATTTTGATATTAAAAGCCTGTTTTGACAACGTTGAATTTTAACGTTTGAGTTACTTTCCTGTTTGTTATGTTTTCCACACTAACGAACTTTACGGACACGTTACAACAACGTTCTTTTTATACCATCAATAGATGTCGCATCTTAACGTTGCCTCGATGTGTAAAGAACAAAAATGTGCAACGTCTTCTAGGAACTTATATGCTACTTATGAGCAACGTGACATGGACGTCACTGTTTGCTGGATCTATTATTTTAAAATGTGCTCTGTCTCGTATAGGCCAGGGGTCGTCGCTAATTCTGTGCATGCATTAAGCTCTTGCGATAATGAACCACATGAAATCCCATTTTCGATCAAATTGGGTCGTGAATCGCCACAATATATAGCGTCTTCGATATCGTCAATGACAACGGAATCTGAATTTGAGTAATTTACAAAGACAACAGCATATGGTAATTAATGGTTAAATTAAAGACTTTATTTCAATGGTAGAACATTATTAACTGTACAATGAGTATTAAGACACTTGATTGATTGCTGTTCCAAAGGAATTTAGTCCAGGTGCTCTATTAAACATACAATTCATGAAAATCTTATTGAAGCGACGGTTATGTCCGCCATTTGTGACAACGGTATCTGGCTTTACCGTTGTCAGGCTATTCCGGGGTGAATTAGATAGGCATTAACTTTAGTCTTTTCTGATTTGCCATGTGAATGTATAGTATGCTATTATATTAAGGTAAATAATAGCCTGTTGTTTTTGAATAAAGAACTGATTTAAAAACCCGCTTTTTGTTATTAACCCTACTATCACACCAAACTAGTTCTCACTACGTTCTCGAAAACGGGCTTCAACTGTGTACGAACGGACTGCACCTACTAAGAACCGTTTGGGATCTATTTACAAACGTCATCGAACGTACTCGAACGGGTAGGTCCTCTAGAACTTAGACAATGCTCAAAATGTTTTCGTGGTCGTCACGTTCTACAATTAGAACGAGTGACAACGTACTAACGACGAGCTGGACGAACTACGATCGGAACCGTCGTACTTCAATCCTACTAGGGACGTTTTAACAACGAGTTGAACTGTCCGAGGACGTGTTGAGAACGAGGTAGAACTAATTGCAAACGGGTTTAAACTGATTAAGAACGTATTTAACACTGCTGATGAACGAGTTAGCAAAAATATAGCTATCACACTAAACAAGTTGCCACTGCGTTCTTCAAAACTGGTCTTAAACTGTGTGCGAACGGAATGAACGTAGCTGCAACTTTCTTACGTCTATTTACGAACTTTATGAACGTTCTCAGACGGGAATGTGATATTGGAATTTTGAATCGATTCAAAGTTCGATGGCGACCATACCGTTCTGTAATCAGGTCATGTTGACCTTCTAGACTAAGGGACGCGTTCTACTACGTTGCACACCGACTTGGTGCGACCTGAACGAACTGCGAACGAGATGGACGTATTGAAGACTGTTTAAGAACGAAGAAGCTAATTATTTCAGACATATTTCCCAACCACAGCCAGGTTGAGCCCGTTTTAGGACGTTTTCGTAGGACTGGCAAGAACGGGTAAGAACTAGTTTGGTGTGATAGGGGGGTTAGGCAATGCGATGTGCATGTGGAATCTACCAAAACAATGGTGGAAATGTGTTTCCTATTATCCAAAGAGACCGAGAGAGGATTGAAGAAATAAGGAAAATGAGAGACATATAAATAACATTACATGATCATATTCAGATATAGATGCACCAATAAAGCATGCTATCAGATTTTCTTTGATTAAAGCCCCTCTGTTAAATCACTTGAAGGCATCAAAAAGACCTGCAAAGAATCACCATCCTATAAGAATATTTGCACTGGTCTATTATTGACTAGGCAAACAAATTCTCATAAAGGTATCTTCAAACTGACGTCTATGGGCATTTAAACTTAAGAAGAAAAAAGTCTCAGGATTTAGTCCTAAGTCTTTAAATTGAATGCCATCAAAAATACATATATTACTATATGAATCGATGTTAGAGTACACTGGCATGAGAAATCTAAAACAATGGCGTAGCGTCATTTATTCCATAGTTAGCATGATATTCATAGGATAACATGTCAAAATAAAAACGGTATTTTTGTAATCAGTGGTAAAATATGATATTTTTGACAAATTTTCATTTAACCATAGCATACGGTGTTTTAGCCATGACATACGACGTCGTATGCGATGGTTTATGGATTTTTGCTACTTCAGACTCAAAACGAGGCTAAGTGTCAACATCGCCGGATCGTTTGGAAAATTCGAATTAAATCACTTTTCCGACGATTCCGATGATGACTTTAACTATAGAATAAAAAGAACATCCTATGATTTACTCGTGATATGATTTTAATCCACTCGTGGATATTGATATCTGCACTCTCTCGCTACGCTCGCTCGTGCAGATATCATATCCATTCGTGGATAAAAATCATATCACTCATAAATCATAGGATATCCTCTATATACGCATAACATGCCACGGCGTACTCTCAAAAAGAGAAAAAATGATTTTTTTATATTGGATTGCCACAAACTTGAAAAAATGGCCAATAATTGACTTGATATTAGTCCATATTAGTTGGAACGCCCCAGAACGCCTCAAATGCAATTTCATTTTCAAGTTTTCTTGGGGGTCCCTCAAAGCTTGTTCGCTTCACTCACTCTTGGCGTACACTCACAAAATACCCACACTACACACTACGCCACTGTAAAACATGCTCTACATTAAAGTCATTGTCACTTATAAATGAGTGAATCATAATAGGAATGAGGTATAAAATATCCTATGATTTTGAATATAATTTCTATTCATGAATTGATATCAATATCTGGATGGGTGAAGTAGTGAATGATATCAATGAGTGGATTAAAATAATTTCACTGCTTCCATTCACTGCTTCCATATTTCAATGCTTTTTATTACGCATATTCAAAACATCAAAAATATATTTATATGTTAGACAGGCAGATTGATTGGGGGGGGGGGGGTTGAGGGGAGAGGCTAAAACTTTTTGAGGGCCTCAATTAATAGGCCTACTGGGCCTTGAATTTTCAGAGTTTGAGCCTAATTTTGGTTTTGGGCCCAAGGATTTTTTCAGACTTGAAATTTCAAGGCCCCCTTTGTTAGTTTCCAGATCGGCCCTGTGGTCAAGTCAATCCACCACATTACACAGCAGCCAAAAGTTCAAAATTTGCCTGATCCTCCAAATTTAACTCTTTTGATCGGTAATTAGCAAATTTGCTACATTGCTAGAATCGGTAATTAATCTCCTGAAAATCGACTAATTTTGACAGATTATTTTCAAACAGTCATAACTTAATTAGTGGTCAGATGTTTTGTCAATGAAATGCTGTCAGTATATTGTTCTTCCATTAGAAACCATCAAAACATACATATTCCAGCATATACATGTAGACTCACAGTTACATCATTTACCATGATTTCAATGAGAAAAATAAAACAATGTTCTATTATAACATGGGCTCTACCACCCTCCATGATTATAATAATCTAATAAAAATAAAAATTAAATCATCATTTTCACTGTCCGAATCATGGAATATTTGATCAAAACTGTCCTTAGAATTGAGCTCTAGCAGCAGCCATTTTCTATTCAGAATAGTATATGTGTAAGAGTCAACTATAGTGTACGTCCAACAGTTACTGATAGGATGAATTAGTCAATGTCCAAGTCAAAAGAGTTAAGCAATTTACACAGTATTTCAGCATTGGCAATGTGTAACCCCACAATGCATTTTCAAACAAAATAAATACAGTTTATTAAGACTAACTCTTTTCCAGGAAGAAGTACCAGACATATTTTGTAGTGCTGACTGTAAGCTTAGGCAGGCCTAAGTTTACAGGCATGTAGACTACAGCTCATTTCACTGTTTCACAAAATGGTACCTGCTTCCTCGTGACAGATTTGCACTTTATTTATAGCTGAGATCGTCATCTTTATATTTTTACTTATTTGGTGTGAGTAAATAACCGAACGCAGTAATTTGACTTTTAATATGGCAAAAATTTTTCACTTGATTCAGGCTCTTGTGTGTCTAAATATCATTGTAATTCTGACATAATGTTTCTGATTTGTTTTCAGATTTGGAGAGACTAAGAGCAAGCCGTTAAAATATCACTATTTTGGCTTCTTATCATTTCAACGAAGTATAATAATAACGTTCATTAGTGATAAAAAGCTAAAAAAATAAGAAGGCGCTTCGGATGAAGTATGATTTGTCCCCAGTTTGTCTCATCATGGGCTTTCAATGGTCTCATATTTTTTCAGAAATGGCTGCACGTACAATTGTCATTTTAAAATTTGAAATTTTCTGAGGTGTCGTATCTTCCTAATAATTTAATGAGCTGATCTGTGTTTTGATTTCTTATTTTTTAAGTTTTGCTGGTGAAATAAAACAGTGAAATGGGCTTTACAGTAGATTTTTTACTTTTTAGTTTTTTTGATGATTTCCACATTTTACGATTTTTTCCAGACATCATTTTAGCTGTAACCTGACAAGAATATATTAAATTTTACAACTGTAGATATGTAATACTTTAAAAGGTTAATTACCTGAGTATTTGGACTTGCATTTACTTGTAAAACGACGGCTATAGTAGAATAAACAGCAAAAACTTCAACGAAAAGTTGTTTGGGCGATGTCATGTTGAACTTCCGGTCACGTGATGTACCAAAACAAACTACACGTGGTTAGGGATTGATCATCTTCAATCTATCCGACATTGGGTAGATAACGATATTTATTCAGTATGATATCTAATAGGTTTCGATGCTATTTTGATAGGCTTTGATTTGACTGTTCAGCTTTCGGACATACAGATTTTATGATAGACCAAGGGGTCCAAGGGAAAAGTAATAGTAAGCTGTATATAGAAGAGACAGGTCTTCTATGTACAGCTTACTATTACTTTTCCCTTGGCCTCTGCCCACTATGGAACTGCTTCTTTATTCGGTACATAAATATTCCATACATACCAAATAAAACAAATAATTTACCAAACCTATACCCAATCTATGGAATGTTTTTCTGGTCTCTCTAGATGTCAATAATCTGCAAAAGGCTAAAACTCGCAAGAATCCAGGTCACGTGACAAAATATCGAACAACAACGAAAGTTATTGAATATCGCTTTATTGCTTTCGGTAAAGAGCAAATTAGCTTTCCATAAAATGCATTAACTACAGTATGTTATAGAAAAATAAATCATTTGGTAAATATAGACAAACTTATTTCGGTATCAAATAGAACTTAGATATTGCACATATAGTATATGTGTTACTCTTAACGATTACTATAACAATTTACGTAATATCTCTTAGCTTATTAGCCCTTTGCAGATTATTGACATAGACAAACCCCAGAGCTTAGAGAGGACAGACATATAATTTTAAAAGTCTCTTGCTTGTACCACCTTCATTTGTTTGGATTTTCACCTGCTAGTTTCCATATTATCCTTGTGATGTTTGAATCAAAGCCTATTTCTTACATACTGTACGCCCGGTATTATTCGCGTGCGATTAACTTTCGCGCTTTTCGCGATGGTGTTAAAATCGCGAAAAATTATCGTCGCGAAATTGCTAATTAAATCCCCGGGAATTTGTTCTTACCCGGGTCTGTGATGCATTTCGTCAACTTCTGATCCCTCCATTCCTACATCTGTAAGAAGAACTACAACATGCATTTCGTTTTGTGTAAAACGTTTCGTCTAGTGTTATTGGGCGATAATTGGATGATTTTCACCAACATGATGTAATACAAAATACGAATTCAAACTGCTTTTTCGTTTTAAAATAAGACCGAAATTAACGATGCGATAATAGAAGTTGATATGCAGCTTGCCGATGATAAAGATCCCAGTTATTGTAAATCTGATCCAACTATGACATCAGGTAAGTGCAATAACTGTACATATACTAGTAATTTAGCTTGAGAATTCCGAGAATAATGAATTTCAAACTTGTGAAATTCGCGAAATTTAATAGCCGCGAAACCATGTTTTCGCAAAATTCGCGAAATTAAAGCTCGCGAATAATACCGGGCGTACAGTATTTCTTTATCTTGATGTGAAATGTCAAGCTATGACATTGCTGGTTAACACGCCATATTAACATATTATTCGAAGCATTTTTAGAAATAGGGGACAATAAGAGGTTGCATTATCACAAAAACTAGACGACATTTCTTGTTTTTTGCAGAGATGTGGGTCTGTTGTTGTAGTTGTTATCAATTTGAGGTGAGATTGTGAGTACCCTTGGTAGTTAGACAGGGGGAATTATTGCCAATGACATGCAAAATATCACCACCTGCCAACTGTTACAGACAGTTACCAACATACACCATTCCACATAAAAATTGGAGACTAAGACAATATGTCACCATTTGTGGTGGTGACATAACTGCATAATGTAATGACAAAATATCACCTGGAAAAGGGTTACAGTTACTATTTGTGACAGATACTGCCTCTGAATGCCATATCCAGGCACAGTTCAACTTGGAGACATGATGACTAAAACAGCAACCGTGCATACTGTATACCATAATTAGCGCTTTTCCCCTCATTTATAACACTCCTGAGCTTTTGGTATAATACAACTGGACACTAAAATGGACAGGTCTCATACAGTCATTGAGA